CTGGGACAGGATGGGGACAGAGCCGGGACACGATGGGGACAGAGCCCACATCAGGGATGGGGGACAGGGCTGGGACAGGATGGGGACAGGGCAGAGACAGAGCAGGGAACGAACCGGGGCAGATCCAAAATCAGGGCTGGGACAGGATGCGGACAGAGCCGGGACACGATGGGGACAGAGCCGGGACAGAGCCGGGACAGGATGGGGACAGAGCCGGGACAGGGCCGGGACACGATGGGGACAGGGCCGGGACAGGGCTGGGATACGATGGGGACAGGGCCGGGACACGATGGGGACAGAGCTGTCCCCCAGAGGCGGGAGCCAGAGCTGGAAGCTCCAGCAGGGAAGATCGCTGTGGATCGCGGATCCCCGGAGCAGTGCAGGCTCCCCCGGCCCCCAGGAGCTCCCGCAGGAGCTCCGGGAGCAGCGGCCCCACGCTCCCGGCTCGGCGCCAGCTCCCTCCTGGTGCCCAGGGCCCGAAGGCGCCCGGCTGTGGCCGCAGCTGTGGCCGGCCCGGGGCTGCAGCCGGGGCTGCGGGGGTCCCTTACCCATGGCTGCGGCTCTGGGGGTCCCGGTGCCGGAGGAGCTGGAGCTCAGGGGCAGCTGCTGTCTCGGGACTGCTGGAGCGGCTGTGCCGTGCCCAGGCTGCTCCCGGGGCCCTTTTATCCCGGGACAAAGGGTGGGGGGAGCTGGGCCAAGCCCAGGGAGGGGCTGCCCAGCGCTTGGGAGGTGCCGGCCCGGCGCTGCGGCTTCTCGCCGCCAATCTGGGCCCAAATCTGCTGCTCCCTGCAGCTCCCGAACCTCAAAGCCCGCCGGGCCCGCCTGATCATCCCGGCCTCACGCGGCGGCTCCGCACCCGCAGCGGCCTCAGCACAGCCGGGCCCGGGGCACCCCCAAATCCCGGCCCGAGCCTCGGGCCCAGCGGCCGCTCCCGGGGCTGGCAGGAGCTGAGCCCGCGGCAGCGCCGAGGCTCCTCCGGGATGCTGATCCTGACGGGGGGGATGAGGATCCCGGTCCCGGGCATCGGCCGGAGGCTCCTCCGGATGATGCTGACAGCACCGGGCTGATCCTGACGGGAGGATGATCCCGGTCCCGGGCTGGCCCAGCAGGGTCGCCGAGCGGGCTCTGCCCAGGGACACGACTTTGGCAGCTCGGGGACAGCGCGATGGGCTCGGGGAGCTGCTCAGGGGATCGCAGGGGACGGGGCCATGGCCAGGGGACAGCGGGGAGCCTCAGGAAATGCACCCCGAGCCCCGCTGGGCCAGCAGCAGCAGCCGGGCCACGACACGGGGCGGCCTCGCGGGGCGGCACCTGCGGCTGGCGACCAGGGAACAGCTGGCAACAGCTGGCAACAGCTGGTAACAGCCGGGATCAGCTGGCAACAGCTGGCAACAGCTGGAAACAGCTGGCAACAGCCGGGAACAGCTGGCAACAGCGGGATTTGGGGACTTCAGCACTGGGAATCGGACCTGGAAAGGTCACCGGGTGCTGGCCCCAACCCTCCGCTCCCCCCATCTCTCCTCGAGCACCCGCTCATTAGGCGGCTCATTAGCCCGACCCTCATTAGCCAGCTCATTATCCCGCCCCTCATTAACGAGCCGCGCTGCTCCCGGTGCCTCCCCGTCCTGACGTCGCCGCGTCCCGCCCTGCCCCCGCCGGCCGCTCGCGTGTCGCCATGTCGCGATAAGAGCGAGATAAGCGCGGCTTCCGCGACGAGCCCCGGCCCCTCCGGCCACTGCCCGCGCCCCGCTGGCCGCTCCCGGCGCCTCCTCCGGCCTAAATCCCCTTCCCAATGCCCATCTCCTGCGCCTTCGGCCCGCTCGCCCTCCTCCCTTCCCAGCCTCGGCCGGGGACACCTCGCCAAAATCCCCCCGAAATCCACGGAGCGAGCCCCGACCCCACCGGCCGCTCCTCCCCGTGCGCCTGCAATTCCATCCACGAGCCGCACAGGGCTCGGGAGGATTCTCGGCTCTCCCGCCAGCCCCGGGCGTGGGACAGGGACAAAACCTTCAGCTGGAATTTCATCCTTTCCCATTCCCAAATCCCCGTTCCCAGCACTTTTTTGGTTTTTTTTTTTGCCCGGTCTCCGTCCTCTCTTCCCAGGCGTTTTCCTGGGCATCCTCATGGAAAGAAAGAAATGGGATTTGGGCTCCGATCCCAGGAAATGGGACAGGACAAGAGGGAGCGGCCTCGAGCGAGCTGTGCCAGGGGAGGCTCAGGGGGAGAAATTGGGGGAAACGCCTCCTGGAAAAGGGAAAAGCTTTCGGAAGGGGCTCCCTGGGGAGGTTTGGAGTGGAAATGTTCAGAGAATTCCTGGAATTCTGCATGACGAGACTGGTCCCATCATGGACTCGATGATCCTGAAGGGATTTGTCCTCGTCCTTCCCGCGGGGATCCCAACGCCCGGATTCCCTCGGGATGCGGATTGTCCCAGGGAACACCCGCACCCCCCAAACGAACTGGAAAAGCCGGCGAGGAGGAGCCGCTGCCCTGGCCCGGATCCCAAAATTCCCAATGCTTTGAAGCTTTTTGGGCCAGCAGCCCTGGTGAGCCGCCAAAGCCGGGGATAATTCCAGCTTGCTCCTCTGGATCCGCTTGGAATGAGGGACTGGAAAGGTCCCTCCACGGGGCAGGAATGTCCAGCTCCCGAGGCTTTTAATTATGGGCGGGACAGATCCCAGATGAATCCCTTTCATATCGGGCGAGATAAACGCGATCTGCAGTGTCAGGAAGGGCAGAAATCTGATTTTCCCCGGATTATGGGAAGTGGGGATGAGGAGGAGAGACCGGGAAACTTCCCGAACCGGGCTGGGGGGACGCTGCCCGCACCTCTGCTCATGGAAAAGCCTCAGGTGAGCACAGGGAGAACCAGCCGAGCTGATCTGGGCGCAGGGAGGGGCAGGAAATAATCGCAGCTCTTATCAGCATCTGCATTTATCAGCCGCAGCTTCATCTCCTCCCGGCCAGGCTCAGCAGGGGAGTTTCGAGATCTCCCCAAGGTTTATCTGCTGTGGGTTTTGTAGCATTTGCTCCTTTTTGGGGGGGTTGGGATCTGGGGTTGACGTTTGGAAATTGCCCCGAGTGCTAAAGGGACTTTTTAGGGAATTCCAGGATTATTTGGAATAATTGCGGAAGTGTAAAAGGAATCTTTCAGATAATTCCAGGATTTTTGAAGCTGGAAAATCCCGTCAGGATCATCGTGTCCAAGATGGGATCAATCCGCCCCTCGAAATGCAGAATTGCAGGAATTCTCTGAACATCTCCAGGGGTGGCCACTCCAAACCTCCGCAGGGAGCCCCTTCCGAGAGTGGCAGTGGCCGGAGGGGCCGGGGCTCGTCGC